TTATATTGTGACACTCATTCTAGGTTATATTGTGACACTCATTCTAGGTTATATTGTGACACTCATTCTAGGTTATATTGTGACATTCATTCTAGGTTATATTGTGACACTCATTCTAGGTTATATTGTGACACTCATTCAAGGTTATATTGTGACAATCATTCAAGGTTATATTGTGACACTCAATCTAGGTTATATTGTAACACTCATTCAAGGTTATATTCTGACACTCATTCTAGGTTATATTGTGACACTCATTCAAGGTTATATTCTGACACTCATTCTAGGTTATATTGTGACACTCATTCAAGGTTATATTCTGACACTCATTCTAGGTTATATTGTGACACTCATTCAAGGTTATATTGTGACACTCATTCTAGGTTAAGGTGAAGTGATTGGCAGATAAGTAGGCAAGAATACAAAATATAAAACCAGTTTAGCAGCAAATTGGCATGCCTCTTGGCCAAATGAATCTGACAGGCTGGAGAATGCCTCTAATGATATAAGAAAGCAGATTCTATGAGATATGTGAAGCATTTTAGGAGAGCTAGTCTAACTGTCCTGTTCCTTATAAAGTTCTACTAAAGATGCTTTTCACTTTCACTAGTACACCCCAACCATTAAATAATTCTTAATCAATTCAAAATTCAGAAGAATTACATTTTTGAAAATTAATTTTATATTTGAACATGGCTAGACAGAAACAATAATTTCTTTAAATCTCAATCGTTATTGGTTGTTCTGTTGATTATTTCATTATACTGTACATGTATCGGCAAAAGAATATCATAAGTTGGTCTCAAGATATATCTCAGGGATGCAAGATATTATATAAACAGTAATAATGGGACACCACTGTGGTACAGAGTCTCTTTAAGACATAACAGGATTCTTGAACTCTATTTACAGGTTCTTTTTATTCTTAAACAAAACAGTTTTATCTTTTACCATTAAAGCACTGTATCTTAATGAAAACAGCTATTAAATTTGTATTTGAATGAAGGCTCTATAATATCCTGTCGAACTGTCTTTGGCCAACTGTGACACCTAATAAGGGGAGGCATCAAAAGTTTGATGTCGGATTGAGACATCAAAATAAATCTAGTTAGGGGCAGGGGGTTAAAAACCATTTCCGTTTGCTATCTGACAAATATCAACATTTCCAATTTTTTCCAATTTTGACTCGGAGTGCCTTGGAATGGTTTAAAAAATAAAGATTTTACCTGATGCTTTCTTCTTCAAAATTATTCTAATGAATTCTATTCTATCAATACAGTAGTTGTTAAAAGCCTCAAATTCCGCTAGGAATTAACAAAAACTAGATCGTTTTTAGACATAATTTTCCAAATTCTCAAACAGTAACTAAAGGGTTCTCGTTTTTGATCGCCTGGGAATTGGTAATTTCATCGTATCGATGGTGTTGATCCAACATGAACACAATTTATCATAAGTTTATGATAATTCTTCACATATTAGAACGATATTGAGTATACAATTGGAGTCTATATGTAATAAAAACTATTATAAGCATTCACAGGCTTATTACAACTATAACGTTTTTCATTCTGTGCATAAAAAAGAATAATGCAGTAGACTCACATTGGAAAAAATAAAATATCAAAAGTCAGCGATCAACTTTCATGGTATTTAGTTTTGGCGGAGGGGGTCAAAGCCAAAACTAGATTTATTTAGTTTACAATCCAACATCCAATTTTTGATGCCTCCCCTAACAAGAGGATTTGAGTATATTGATGGAATATTAGCTGAGATTAGGTGGCTTAATACCATATCACACGTGTATACACTACAAGTACTTGCTGGACCTTGTGTATGTACACAGTAGCACATACACACTGATACCATAGTTTTGTTGGTAGTGTTTTGTCATAAAATTACAAGTCCAAACAAATATTTCTGTGAGAAACATTGACTGAAAAATAGCAGAATGGGAAAAACATCTTGTCTGCAGAAACCAAATGAATTATCAACTTTTAGTTTAATCTTTACATGACAGAATGAAGAGGAATGCTTGTAAAATTGAATATATGGCTGACTTGTAAAAGGGCAAAGCAAAGAGGTGAATTAATGGCTAGTTGGCTTAACTAGCATCTAAACAAACAAGAAAGTGTCAGTTAAAGTTTGTTTATAAATCTGCAGGATATTTACTGAATACACCAACTATCAATTTGAATCATAACATATAAAATATTGATCAAAATGATTCTCCCCTTTGGCCAAAATCATAATGCACCGAATGTAGGAAAACAAAATACACTCAATAATAACTAACAAATGCATAATGCACCCAATATTGGCCAAAAGAGGCCGAATGCACCCAATAATAATTAATAAATGTACAATGAACCCAAAATTGGCCAAAAAGGCCAAATGCACCCGATAATAACTAACAAATGCATAATGCACCCAATATTGGCCAAAAGAAGCCAAATGCACCAGATAATAACTAACAAATGCATAATGCACCCAATACTGGCCAAAAGAGACCAAATGCACCAGATAATAACCAAGCAATACATAAAGCAGTCAATGTTAAAAAGAAAGGTATTAATCAGCAAAGATGTAATGTTTTCAATTTGGTCTCAAAAGCACTACATCCCCAATATTGACTTAGATAATGCACCCATAAAAAAATATTAAACAAATACTGGATGATCAGGAGCTGGATATGGCAGAATACCTATTCGAGAAAAAATATTGGGCGAGGCGGCAGCCGAGCCCAATATTTTTTCGAGGATAGGTATTCTGGCCATATCCAGCTCCTGATCATCCAGTATTTGTTTTATTATGCACCTCCCAATCAAAGTTAAGTGGAGTACTTACTGGAGTACAGGCTTAAACTGTCGTTTAGTTGACATTATTTTGACATTTATTTATTTTTTCTTTCAAAACTCAGACGACTTCCGGCCAGTTTATTCGCTACACTGGACGAAAATATTTGCCCCGGGAATTTAATTTTTATTTATTCGAGACGTTCTTGCAGAATTATATATAACTTTTGAATGATAAGGGTAATTGTGATTGATTAAGTGCATTTTTTTCTTCTATTTTCCGCCAGTTTCAGATGTAAGCTTTAAGTAGTACTCCATCATAAGAAATAAAACTCTGAAGTGGGAATGTTGCAAAAACATTGAAAAAAATATCCGACCCTTTTTCTCGAAAGGGTCAGATATTAAAAAAATATCCGGCAGTTTTCAGAAAAGAGCAGAGTATTGCCAAATTACAAGCAACTAAGAACAAATCAGATTTGAGTATTTTAATGAGGTGCATAATAAATACATATATCGTCCCATTATTTCCTCATTGTTACAATTGCATTTTCACTGACATTGAGAAATCAGAGGTTGAAGTTTAGGTCTTCATAACTTTTGAGTGGTAATTTTTAAAAACTTACTTTTTTCGTATAGGTAATCATGTATATATGTAGGCCTTGCAGAGTAAAAATCACTGATTAACAATGAATAAAACACATCTTTTTTATGGTTTCTTGATTTTGAAATATCAAAACTAGACAACAGCAACGCCAAAGCATAGCAAATCCTATCGAACAGCCATGGCAGGCATGTTTGCAAACAAAGTAAATAGCGAAAATGGCAGCCATTTTTCAAAATAGCCACCTTCTACCAAAAGTGACATTAGACAGTGTGACATGCTTATTGTATTCACATACCAAATATGAACAAAATCGCTCAACTACTTTTCGAGCTATAGTAAAATATGTTAAACTTCTACCAAAAGTGTCATTAGACAGTGTGCCACGCTTATAGTATTCACATACCAAATATGAACAAAATCGCTCCACTACTTTTCGAGTTATAGTAAAATCGTAAAATAACGAGTAAAGGCCGCCATTTTTCAAGATGGCTGCCATGTGCTTCTTTAATATCTACATTTCTAGCTTTATTAATGTCCATATAATTTTTTTACATTTAAAACTTATTGCTATTACAGTTTTACATACTGTAAAATCAGCACTAAAATGCCGCCATTTTTAAATGAGTGGCCATTTTGAAAATCGGCTTTCAAGCAGAACTTCTACCCCATAGGGTATATGTGTACAAAATATGAACAAAATCGGGCCAACAGTATTTGATTTATTGCCCGGAGGGGTGGATGGACGGACGTACGTACGAATGTACGTACAGATGTACATATGGACGGACGGACAGAGGCGTTCCCTATATCCCTCCGAACTTTGATCCATGGGATAATAACCCTGAAAACTGAATTTTTATTCACTTCCATTTTGTTATTGTCTTGCATACCATTATTCTGCCCATCTCATTATAAAGAATATGACTCGTGTTCTATTTTGACTGATAAGGTACTGGATGAGCTTGATCCATGTTTTTACTTGCAGTATTGCATTTTTCCAATTATGTGAAATATATCATTTCTCATTGATTTTGAAAATAATAGGGTCTAGTTTTTCAGCATCTGCGAATTATTGCCATTTATACCCCCTTGCTACTTTTATGAGGGGTACTAGGTATATGACAAAGGTAAAAAGGCTAGAACAGTAATTGATATTAAGTTCACTGAAAGAACTTTTTTTGTTACAAATAATGTCAAATCTGCTTTCTTTTGTTTGTACTACATCTATGGTGTCATGATTTATGATCTCCTTTGTTAATTACCTGTAAAGCATACTAGTAAGAGATCATCCCATTATTTCCACATTGTTATAACTATTAATCACATGATCAAAATTATGTATCTGATTGGCTCTGCTGCCTACCCAAACGGATATGACAAGTTGGGCCTAATTTTTTCCTCATTTTGCACTTATAACAATGTGGTACTGGATATCTCCAAAAGGAGATGAGATCCATTGAAATGGACCTCAGAAATGAATTCCTCGTGAAAAATTGAGAAAGATAGTATACTTATCTCAAAACCTGTAAAAAGTGAGTTATAACAATGTAGAAATAATGGGACGATATATATAATGACTTTCCCCTCCCTTACATACAACTTACCTCTCCATTGTTTATAGGTGTGACCAGGCCCCTAGCTGTAGCCATCCTCCATGCTGTCTCTATTGCCTAAAACACAGACAGAATATCACATTATCCCATGGTTGCGAGGATGTAAATCGAATATCACATGCTCACTTCCACTCATTTTTCCAAACCATAGGATATTCCTATATTCTTATATAAAAGATCAGTATTGTAACAATCTACTTTTTTAGTATGCAACTTAGTGTAGAAGTATACACAAATAAAAAACAACTTTATTAGAAATACTACATAACAATTTCCAAAACATTAAAATGCTCATCATAGTACTCACTGTTCCTCAACCAGTTACTTTGATGGAATGTCAATGTAACAAATTGGATGAACTTTCTGAATACATGTTTTTTTGTTTTCTTGATTTAAATCTACTTATAAGTCAAGCTGCGGATTATCATTTGGCACAATGTTAGACAATATAGTCAAGCTTTTAGAAATTTTCTAGGTTTGGAATTTGATTTTTAAATAAAGCTGTAATTTATGCATTTAGACTATCGCCTTTGTTACATTGACGTTAGTTGTCAAAGTAACATACATAAGTAATATAATGGACTTTGATCAATGTAACAAAAGCGAGGGACTAAATATATGAATTGCAACTTCATTAACAAAACAAATTCCAAATCGAAGAAACTTATTAAAGCAAGACTAGATTTTCTTGCTTTGTGCCAAATTATAATCTGCAACTTGACTTATAAGTAGGTTTAAATCAAGAAAACAAAAAACTTGTTACCAGGAAGTTCGGTTCATCCATTTTGTTGTGTAACTAGTTGTGGAACAGTGGTACTGTAGATGATAAAAACAGCAATGCCAAAGTGTAGCAAATCGCATCGAACAGCAATGGCTGGCCTTTTTACAAATAAAGTATATAGCAAAAATGGCAGCCATTTTTCAAAATGACCACCTTCTACCACAAGTGTCATTAGACAGTGTGCCATGCTTATAGTATTCACATACCAAATATGAACAGAATCACTCCACTATTTATCGAGTTATAGTAAAATATGGATAAAATGGTCGCCATTTCACATTCACATACCAAGCTCTAGTAAAATACGTTAAAATGGCGGCCATTTTTCAGAATGGCCGCCTTCTACCAAAAGTGGCATTAGACAGTGTGCCATGCTTATAGTATTCACATACAAAATATGAACAAAATCGCTCCACTACTTTTCGAGTTACAGCAGAAATCGTAAAATAGCGAGTAAAGGTCGCCATTTTTCAAGATGGCTGCCATGTGCTTCTTTAAGATCTACTTTTCTAGCTTTATTAATGTCTTATATGATTTTTTTACATTTAAACCATATTGCTATTACAGTTTTACATATTGTACCTAAATTACTGTAAAATCGGCACTAGAATGGCCGCCATTTTTGAATGAGTGGCCATTTTGAAAATTGGTTTTAGAGCAGAACTTCTACGCCCATAGAGTATGTTTACAAAATATGAAAAAATCGGGCCAAGGGTATCTGAGTTATTGCCCGGAAGGACAGAGGCATTCCCTATATCCCTCCGAACTTCGTTCGATGGCATAATGAAAGAATGATTACTTACAACATTTCCCATATAGACAGCTAGCATTCCCCTCCTGGAAGACATACATTCAGATTTCAGAAAATTCTTTTCTTTTTAAAAGTTTACTTCTTCATCTATGTATCAGTGATTATTCTAAAAGAGTAAATGCTTATAAAAAGGTATGTTGTGCATGAAAATAAAATCATGACTAAAGCAGATCAGAATGACTTGATGTTTATCTAATTAACATTGTTTAGAACATTGTTTGGTATACTTTATATATTCCTACTGATTCGACTTTTTACCACTGTATTAAATTGTAATTTAGACAATTTTGAGATGTTTCTCATGTGAAGTCAACATTAAGAGTGCAAGAGTTACATAGTACATGCATATGTTATACAAAGATGCAGACCCAACTATCAGATGATACTTCAAAATATACACTCACAAATGACAAAAGTTGCAAGTATGTCAAGTCAGCTCTCAAATACCCTTAAGGATCACACCCCATTCACTTATACATCGTAGCACCGGAAGTTTACTACGGTATACAAGTATTTTCGGAGGGAGATTTGTAAGTACTTATTTATTGCGACGTTTTGACAGAATATGGTTCTTTCCTTTTCGTAGAAACATTGACCATATCATGCAGATATACCTCTAGTATCACTCATCTCAACATTTCACCTGAACATTGGTCTAACATGTGGAAAGCACAACATTTTTTGAAAAAAGATCACTTTTCACATAGTATCATCATAGATTCTTTCTTAACCCTATCATCTTGAAGTATTGATTAGATTAACTATACAATTTGTATACATCATCCAGGCACTTCATTTTCCCAAATCAACAAAAGAATTCTGAGAAATTAATCTTTCTTTGAAAGTGTACGACGTAAAGGAGGTACATAACATTTCATTGTAGATGATAGGGCAAAAGTTGTAGAAACTATGATGATTTTCGTGAAAAATTATCATTCTTTTTCAAGAAATCGTTGTGCTTTCTAGAACGTTTGAAAAGTTCTAGACCGTGTTCGGATAAAATGTTCAGACCTAGTGATACAAGAGGTATATCTGCATGGTATGGTCAATGCACCTATGAACGGGAAAGGACCATATTCTGTCAAAACGTCGAAATACAAAAATGAGTACTTACAAATCTCCCGCGGAAAATACTGGGTATAACGTCGTAAACTTCCGGCACTATGACAGATAAGAGAATGGGCTGTGAGGGATAGTAGTATATATTTCAGTTTGCATATTTCAAATATTTTCAAGGAACAGAGCTTGAAATGATATAACTTGACATTAAAATAGAACTTAGGTACGGAAAGAAGAATGGAATATTGAAACAGAACTTAGGTATGAAAAGAAAGAATGAAATGGACTTAAATAGTTGTATAAATTTCCAAAGGGGATTAATTGTGGGCTCACATCTTTAATCAAAGATGTCATACCTAGATTTGCGCTCCAATAGAATAGCAGCAAGACTAGCAGTCAAGGCAGGGATAAATGTTACCGTCAAGAAATTAAAATGGCCGATAAGTCTCCTGTTGAAAAAATTTAGTTGATATTTTAATAATAGTATATATTCAGGTTTATATTATACAAATTCCTAAAGTGTATTGTGGAACCATACCTAAAATCTGAAATTATTGAATTAATAATTGTTTCATCTTTGCCATTTCATAGTTATCCTAATTAGATTAAAGATACCTTGTTTAAACGTTTCATGATAAAATAAAAAGCATCCTGTTCCCAAGAAATGAAAGCCTACACCAGAACATTAGGAAAAACTGACTCACAATGAGAAAATAACAAAAACAAAGTTGTACAGCTAACATAAAAAAGAAAAATAAGACCATTTGTCCTGTATTGATGTGGGCAAATCAACCAAATGATAGTCAATGTTCTGCTGAGAAAATATAATACAATTGGTCCTGTATCATGTGGACAAATCAATCATATGGTAGTCAATATTCAGATGAAAAAATATAATACATTTGGTTCTATTTATATGGGCAAATCAATCATATGATAGTCAATGTTCAGCTGAAAAATATAATATATTTGGTGCTGTATAATGTTGACAAATCGATCATATGGTACTAGTAGTCACTGTTCAGCTGAGAAAATATAATACAATTGGTCCTGTATCATGTGGACAAATCAATCATATGGTAGTCAATATTCAGATGAAAAAATATAATACATTTGGTTCTATTTATATGGGCAAATCAATCATATGATAGTCAATGTTCAGCTGAAAAATATAATATATTTGGTGCTGTATAATGTTGACAAATCGATCATATGGTACTAGTAGTCACTGTTCAGCTGAGAAAATATAATACAATTAGTCCTGTATCATGTGGACAAATCAATCATATGATAGTCGATGTAATACAATACTCCAATACACTATAAAGTTTAGTTTAGTTCACTTCAGTTACCTCCTGTTTGAAGAGCTCTCATGTAGGGTACAACTTTGTCTACATCCGGGTTCTTTCCCATTGAATTACACAGGGGTGCGATTTTCAATGCCACTCTGCGGCTTTATTAAACCTTTATGAAGAGTTGCATTTGCACAAACGATAGATGTATGTAATTAAGACCTACAACAAGGCTTTTTGAACTATAATCCCCAAATCCGAAGAAATCTGTAGTTGAAAACGCCGTCTAATTCCAGTGACGTCACTGATTTCCCAGAAATTGCTCAGACGCCATTGACGATTGAAAAATAAAATAAAATAAATAATGATTTAATATAAATAATATTACTTTAAATCTCCAATTACCTTTCTGATTATTGAATAGATTGGATCATATAACTATGCTTGAGGACTGATAGTTTTATATCATAATATGTTGAAATTTTGTTTGAGTAATCATCCATTTTGATGCTATACAAACGCTATGATGTAATCATCGACCAATGAAATAAGCGGATCGAGACCTTTGACTTTGCAATCTCGGGTCATTTCTTTAATCGACTCATTTAGCAGGTCAATGAAAATCTGTCCCTTCCAAAACGATGCATAATGGGAGATATTTATGTAAATTACCACCTGAACTCTTATCGTGAATTGGAGTATTGGTCCTATGTAATGTGGACAAATCAAACATATGATAGGCAGTGATCAGCTGAGAAAATATAAGATATTTGCAGGGCTGTCAACTTGGGACCACCTAATAGGTACGAAAATTTCCAATTAACATGCGTGACATATATTGGATTCACGTGACAAATCCGAACAAATTGCGTTCGTTTTTTTTTCCGACGTTCGTATTTTTACCGTATCGTAAACATATTTTGAAAATTTTTCTACAGACAATTGACAATTACCAGGTATAAATGCGTATTTGCGTGACATTTTCTGTCACACAAAAAAAACTGGCGTGACTTCAAATTCTTCAGCAAATGCATGACAAATACGTAAATTGCGGGACAGTTGACATGCCTGTATTTGGTCCTGTATAATGTGAACAAACAATTGTATGGTACTAGTAGTCACTGTTCAGTTGTGAAAATATAATACAATTGGTCCTAGCTATATAGCCTTGTCCAAGTCGGTATTTTTTTACTTATCTGATCTTGAATTATAATTACCGCCTTGTACAATCCAATACATCTCCACTGATATTATGCTAAGTTATTCAGCGGTTTCGAGATTTCCATAATACCTACGCTGTCAGGGGCATCACGAAACCTTATTGATTGACAGGATCGCATGGACACGACGTGTGACTTCAGGCTGATTGACCAATCAAAATGTTATCAGGTTGACCTACGACTTGAAATTTAATGATCTGATCGAGTGTTTCTTTAGAGTTACAAATTATGTAATTAAATACATTGGAATGTAAGCAGTCATTAATATAAATTAAATCATGCGATTCAATGTTGATTTAAAACTGAATTAGCGATGAAAATGCACGAAGACCTAGTCCGGCCATGTAGTCGTCGATCTGATTCCGGGTATCCGATCGATGCTCCGGCATCCACTAAACTCTGATTGATATTTGTCTGATAAAATATTTGTATTTTCATGATGAATTCATCCAAGATTTGTCCCGGTGAAAAGTATACTTGTTTTTGACCGTGCATAATAATGACCTAATGCGTCAGGGCTGTCGTTGATTGGTCCAATTTTACCGACATAAACATTGAGTCGATAAAGCAGGTGGCCTTCTCTTGGGTACAAGGCGGTCATAATGGATATCAAGATAAGTAAAAGAGACTTGACTTGAGCAAGGCTAGGTCCTATATAATGTCAACAAATCAAATCATATGATAGTCAATATTCAGCTGAGAAAATATAATAAATTTGGTCCTATAAAATGTGGACAAATCAATCATATGAAAGTCAATGTTCAGCTGAGAAAATATAATACAATTGGTCCTGTGTAATATGGACAAATCAATCATAATAGGCAATGATCAGCTGAGATAATATAATACAATTGGTCCTGTGTAATATGGACAAATCAATCAAATGATAGTCGATGCTCAGCTGAGAAAATATAATACATTTGGTCCTGTGTAATGTGGACAAATCAATCCTATGATAGTCAATGGTCAGCTGAGATAATATAATACATTTGGTACTATGTCATATGGACAAATCAATCATTTGGTAGTCAATGCTCAGCTGAGAAAAAATAATACAATTGGTCCTGTGTAATATGGACAAATCAATCAAATGATAGTCAATGTTCAGCTGAAAAAAATAATACATTTGGTCCTATATGATGTGGACAAATCAATCATTTGGTAGTCAATGTTCAGCTGAGAAAAAATAATACAATTGGTCCTATATGATGTGGACAAATCAATCAAATGATAGTCAATGTTCAGCTGAGAAAAAAACAATACAATTGGTCCTATATGATGAGGACAAATCAAACATATGATAGCCAGTGTTCGGCTGAGAAAATATAATACAATTGGTCCAATATAATGTGACAAAACAATCATATGGTAGTCAATGTTCAGCTGGGAAAATATATGACAATTGGTCCTGTATAACGTGAAAAATCAATCATATGGTAGTCAATGTTCAGCTGAGAAAATATAATAAAATTGGCCCTTTGATATACTAAAAATCAATCATATGATCGCAAAAAACTCAATTATATAGTAGTCAATGTTCAGCCGAGAAAATATAATACAATTGGTCCTATAAAATATGGACAAATCAATCATTTGGTAGTCAATGTTCAGCCGAGAAAATATAATACAATTGGTCCTATATAATGTGGACAAATCAATCATACGATAGCCAGTGTTCGGCTGAGAAAATATAATACAATTGGTCCTAAAAATTGTGGACAAATCAATCATATGGTAGTCAATGTTCAGTTGAACGATATAATACATTTGGTCCTATATAATGTGGACGAATCAATCATATGATAGTCAATGTTCAGCTGAGAAAATATAATAAAATTGGCCCTTTGATATACTAAAAATCAATCATATGATCGCAAATGTTCAGCCGAGAAAATATAATACAATTGGTCCTATATAATGTGGACAAATCAATCATACGATAGCCAATGTTCGGCTGAGAAAATATAATACAATTGGTCCTAAAAATTGTGGACAAATCAATCATATGATAGTCTGTTCAGCTGAGAAAATATTATACAATTGGTCCAATATAATGTGAACAAAACAATCAGATGGTAGTCAATGTTCAGCTGAGAAAATATAATACAATTACCCAAATGCGAGTAGGTAGTTACCAGTTTCACCACCAGGTGGCTGATTCGGGTCAATTAACATGGCAGGTATATAAGAAAGTTCCCTTAAACTTGAATATTATCAATTTAAGTGGCTCAATTTTCATATAACCCTTATGTGTCTGATACTTATACTAATGAAAATATATCCAGTAAAGCAAAATATTATCTGTCCACTAAAAGAAAAGATATTTCATTTTTTGTGATTTTATAGCATGGGGTCTATGGGGAATCTCCCCGAGCTAGAAGCCATATTTTCAAAGAAAATTAATTTTTCAAAGTTAATAAACACTTTTTAAAACCACATTTCTAGATGTAATTTTACATGTAGATTTCAAATATGATATTACTTTGACTGAATTTTGAATTTTTAATGACGTAAATCAAGATTATTTCTACTCGCATCTGGGTTATTGGTCCTATATAATGTTGACAAATCAATCATATGATAGTCAATGTTCAGTTGAGAAAATATAAAACAATTGGTCCTAAAAAATGTGGACAAATCAATCATATGATAGTCAATGTTCAGTTGAGAAAATATAATACAATTGGTCCAATATAATGTGACAAATCAATCATATGGTAGCCAGTGTTCGGCTCAGAAAATAAAATACAATTGGTCCTAAAAAATGTGGACAAATCAATCATATGATAGTCTGTTCAGCTGAGAAAATATTATACAATTGGTCCAATATAATGTAAACAAAACAATCATATGGTAGTCAATGTTCAGCTGAGAAAATATAATACAATTGGTCTCATATAATGTGGACAAATCAATCATATGATAGCCAATGTTCGG